ATGTTGAAAGAAATACTTAGAAATGAAGGAGTCATGATAAATTCTCCGTACGCACCGTACTCAAAGATTAACTCAGTTAAGAATACCCAAAAACGAATTCCGTGAAACATTCCTCCTAGGAAGTGGTATAATTGGTCAAGAAACTCGAACCCCTAGGATATTTTGTGACATGCAGAAGTGGAATTTCAAAAGACAGTTAAAGAAACTAACTCTGAAGGTGAGACAGTAGGTTAAGAAATGTGAAAGTCCCTGGACTCCGACTGTTCACGGTGCGAACCGTAGTTACTTTTTAACTGCAAAGCACAGCATGGGTTTATTTAAACAATTTCCAGCTAACAGAGTGGTCATGTGGATAAACCATCTCTAAGTTGGAATTATCAAATACTTATATACGAATTTATCAAGTCCACCCAGAAAAATAAATGAGTAGTCTAAATATTGGTCATCTTATGAAGACAACAGAAACATGCGGTTTCTTTCAAACTTACTGACTAGGACTTGGTTGTGTTATTGTTATGCAGAAACATGGAAAACAGTGAAATACATTGGATTACTGTGATACTTGTACTAAGCGATGGTTGTTTGGTACTTCGTTACGCGCTTATTACGAAATACAAGTATAATACGTTCAGTCTCGCTCACCAAGCTTTATCTGCCTTAAATATCAATATTCCGAAAATGCTTAGTACATTAATTCAAGCACATCTAATTTCCACAGTGACTTTCATCTTGGTAATACACCAAAAAATTTTCTTCTTTCAATGTATCTGTAAGGTCCTCCATCAAATTTCCAATTACTGTGGTGCGCCTCAAAAACGTTGTGTATAAAAAGCTTAACGCTAACATCTGCTACGATAATCTGATAATGGGAGGACCAAGCAGTTCTCATAGACTATGAAACACTTATAATAATGAGAGGTCTTAATGTCCCAATTATTTCTATTTCTTCTAGGTGCAGCACTTTAATTAGCTGACAAGTAGAAGAATTCCTAGTTTATAGATTATGACCTAATAATACATTGTAGTTTAAATGATAAGTCTTGCTGATTGAACGCTATATTCGGTTCCCAAGCTATCTCGTAACCTCCAAACTAGAACTACACCACGACCTGAACACGAGAGAAAAGGCGCAAAATATGCGAGAAGTACTTTACTCCAAAGGTTCGTTCTAGTACAGAAAATATATGGTTTTTATAGTATTTTAGAAGTCCTAAGGTTTCCCGAAGATTCTGGAATGCTACTAAACATAGTAGCAGCATAGTAATCAGCAAATCAGAAACTCTACATGTGACTTTCCACTTTCTTGATGTTTCTGGCTACACTTCTAGTGAACGCTGATCGGACAAAATCCTCCTTAGTGTTTCCCGAGCCTTTCTTGTCTTTTGAAAGAAGTTTACTGGATCACCCCAACATAACACAATTAATTTAATTACAATCCTTTACCACATATTTAAATCTCACTTTCATGTACATAAGTATTTAGCCTCACCGATGAATTTTTTTATGTCATCAGGTGAGTAAATCGCCGTATTTTTATTCTAATTTACGTGGTTATTAACAGGACAGAAATCTGTGAACTTATGAATTTCACTCCGTTCAAACCTGAATAGATTTCTGTACTGCTGTAAACTTAGATTTTCATTTCCTAGCTTACGATGGGGAATCGTCACGTTTTGACATTAAGATTAATCACTGGAAAGCCATTTATACAGAATTACACAGTGAATAGCATACAAATAAAAAAGAAAGCTGAAATGCTTCAACTTAATATAGCTATTACCGTTATTATCATGTAAGCATTCATGGAGTCATTTGAACTTTAGATTAATAAACATGAAAACTCCTTCAGATAGTTAAAAGCTATCTTCAGGATTTTCTGTGTCTACACTTACTCTTTTCATCAAAATTTAGTTATATTGAAAGAGATATTCACATTCACACTATTGAATGGAATATTTAACGAGATATCCATGGTAGAAATAAATAAGAATGAGTACAAATCTCATCACTGATGCTTTTCCAGACGTTTATTTTTGTTTTGAAATCTATCCATCATCTCAATTGTACAATCACCAATCTAAGTAGTATAACATCTTCTGCACTCTCAATTTATAATTCTTTGGTTATACGTCCTATTATTGCTAATTTATTGTCAAGAAACAAACACTAGTGATTATCAACAGGGTAGATGTTTTTCCTTTACAAATGGATTTATAAACAAGTCTCAGAAAAAAATGATGGTGACTATAGAATTACATGGAATAAATGAAAGATGATTCCTCAATATACCGCACTTTTCATACTAATCGTAACAACTATTAATCCGTTTTGATTAATGATATATTCACTATTAGAACATTTGGTACCTTTTAAAAACTTCAATTTTGTAATGAGAAGATCAAGTCGATTTGAATCATTTTCATTACCTAGATAAATCACACTTTTTAAATCAAATCCATCATTTTAATATGTTTTTAAATACCAAACAACAAGATGTAACAATCACTTCCGAATAGTGACTTGTCCATATTACAGTGTAACCTATAACAAGCGGTTAAAATGGAAGACCATTCGTATATATGCGCGTACATTCCCTGCTTCTTCAACAGTTGAACATTGATCTAACCTCAAATAAACAAACGCTGTTTAACTACAACAATTTATTTAATGTTCTCAATAAAACATATCTTTTTGTCTCTAAGCTATTTATTTCTATTAAAAAAGCTGGGTAAAAATGAATTCAAAGATAAACAGTTTGCTTTAGTATTATTTACTTGTGCTTTTTCTTCATGAACAAACTCGCTACTATTTAAATAGGGACCAATGAAGAAAATCTTCACGACATACTAAATAAGGATCTAGGTTTCAACAGAAAAAACGTAAACCATTAGATAATTGTTTATAAAACATGTGGATTTGAAGCAGTCAATAAAAAGAGTGTTAGGTAATTGCTAATCCACTATTAATGACATCGTATCAGATACGATGTTATGAAGAACTTTGAAGTTATTATTATAGAGCAGAAATAAATTTTTCATGCAGCGAATCTAAAGTTGTTGATTATACTACAACTAAAGAGTACTACTGAGTTTACTGAAATGTACCTCATTTAATCAAACATGAAACTTAGTTAATTACAGCCAGGTGTCTAATAAATGAAACATTAGGTAGTTAACTCAACCGTGTATTATTCAACACTTTGTAGATGACTCACTGATATACACGTTACACTACTTCTGATTAATTTTAAACTCTGACTCGTATGCTTTACATTGAAGTCGATTGGAGAGGCGGTTTCGTATCGTATTTGGCTGATGAGTCAGTATAGCGCTTTCGGAAAATTATGATTTGACATTTTTAAATATCATTGTAAGACTGTAGAGATTTTCGAGTTTAAATTGAGATCATGAACCGATTAGTGTCAGCCGACCATTGAAAACCTGCAAGCATTAGGCAGTCATTTCTTCCTAGTATGTGACTCCTCAGTAGTGCATATCCGCGATCTCTGCACGCGGGACTCAAACCCAGGATCTTCGGTTTTGCGTGCAAACGCTTAGCCCTTAAACCACTGAGCCAGTATCCAACGCTGTTAATGTCTGACTTTGACCAATATACGATATTGTGCGATCATCCTCCATTGTCTTCAGTGTGTAACTGTCTCATACTCAACACGTTTAAACTCCACTGGTCACAGTTTCTCACTAGTACTTCGAGAATCACCTCTTGAAGCTGGTCATTAGTGAGCACATGATAATCATCGGTATATGTTTGTGAAAATTGTTGAGTTTTAATTCAATGTATTTCGATTTATGTGCGCAGAGCACTGAGCTTTCTTCCATTTTGGGTAGAAACAAAATATGTGAAAAATTTGTCAAGAATCAAATACTTTGATAGGAGCGTTGTCAAAAATTCTTGACTTATTAGCTGGAGGTAAACGAAACAGAAAAGAAGACTGAAAGTGGTTAACAGACAACAATAAAATCATACACTAAAAACAAAATTATACATAATCAGTGAAAAGGCTTCATCTTACTTTCTTTATTCCACAGAACAACATATGATTCAATGGTGAGTTCACGAGAAACACGATCAAGCCCATGTACTTCCTCAACCTGAATTAATAATTTCAAAAAATAAGTAGGTTCGTCATAATGTTTTGTTAGAAATAAGTAAATTAGCAGTGTTGACCCAGAAATATAGTTTTAAGATATTTTGTAAAGGAGGAAATGATAAGACAAAATTTTTGGTTTCTTGAAAAGGTAATTAAATCCAACCGTATTGGTGATTATCAGTTTAGGGAATTTGTGAAGATTCTAAAATTTTCATAGTAATGATCTTAATTAGACCATCACTAAAAACCTGGAAGCACTGAGCGGCAGTTTCGCCTCAGTATGAGACTATTTCATTAGTGAGCAGTATTAAGGTGCAACCAGAGTTCTAGTGAGATGCCGTAAACCATGGAGTTGAATCCATGCCGGATGGAAGACGGTTATCCAATCCAAGCAATGGATGAGAGTTGCTAAAGGTCTTAAACTGATTAAAGCAAGATATTAACACCGTTGGATGCCGGCTCAGTGGTCTAGATGTTAAGTGTTGACATGTGAAACAAAAGATTTTGGGTTTGATTTCTGGCTGCGGGTTCGTGAATGAGCACCATTGGGGAGTTCCACACTAGAACGATACGTGTATCCTATGTTTCTAAGTTTTCAATGGTGACCTCGCTAAGATCAGTTCTTCATTGTGCACTGATCCTTAAAAAACAAAATTTTGATTAGCGTATTTATGTTTTGTACATTTTGATTATCTCCAATGTAAGAGTAACTGAGAGATATCTTCAATAGGAAAAGGGATATACGCAACACATGTGATACTGATTAAGTGAATATAGATTGAAAGCTTGATGACATAAAATATACTTTAGAAACTTACTTGTCGATAATTTTTATTCATCGCTTTGACAACAAGATCAGTCGGTTTAACAGATCCATTGAATAATAGTCTTAGAAATTTGAATCGAATACACCAAGGACGCAGATTCTGTCGACAAAAAAAGAGAGTCAGCTATCATTTCTCGAATACATGACATTCAAGTTACAATCTACGTGTTTATAACATGGTTAACGATACGTTAAACATGAACGGTCTATTTTTGTGGTGCGAAAGTCAGACTGCGTGAAAGTAATATCCCAGCTAACTACATTGAGCGATCATCTTGCACTGTCTTTGGTGTGTAACTGCCTCACAACCGACACAGATTAACTCCACTAGTCACTACTTCTCAATGCTAAAGAGGTTCGTACTAGAACAAAACAGCCATACAGTCCTTCCAGGTTCTCGACTGTGACCCAACTTTGATCAGTTCATGATTTCAATGAAATTCAATAATCTCCACAGCTCTACAACTGAAAATAGCCCAGTTAGCTAAAACTTAAATGGCGTTTACTAAAGCAGATAAGTTACCGTCATATAATCAGTTTTTTATAGACGGATAATATATTATTAAAACAAGTAAACTGATTAAACTTTTATATAGATTATGAATTTTTATTTCCTAAACAAAAGTGATTATAACTTGAAGTTCAACAATTTGAAGACTAAAATCAATTTATTTTAAGGATTAAAGGTTGGAAGTAATCGATTGTACAGTTTTCATGAAAACTTCATATTTCAATACTCTTAAAATTAAAGCATTGTTAGTGTCAATAATCTTTAATTTCCCTCAGAAACTGGAATTTCTCTCTATCAGCTTTAGAATAAATAAGATTGATGTTAATCTATTCCATTAATATAAGATGGTTCAAAAATGTCGGCAACGCAAAGTGATAACCACTAGAGTATAATCTAGTCATTGACAGTAACCGAATTAGAACGCGTGTTTTACTATGCATGTTACAATTTTGAAGACATTAAATTCAATAAAAGAATATTATTTCAGTTGATTTCCTCAATAATTTTATCTTTAAATAATTTGATAATGGTGTGGTGTGTGTTACTGGTATGTATCACTAATCGAAAGTGAATCCCTGCTAGTAGGAGGTTAAGAAGATCAAAGAGGAAATAACATGGACAGAGAGTGATTGGTGTGGAAACGAAAGTACAGTGAAGTCTGAGACGATTGATTGATATTTTGTAAATGAAGAATTTACTGTATGGTTCTCAGATTTCACTTAGGGATTCTGTAATTTTGTGCTAAAATGCATTTGATTGCCCCCACTTGTGTTCTTGTTCACTACACTAGAACTGATTATACATTATGTTATCCGACGTTTACAAACATAAATGATGAATATTTCACCAACCGTAACCAGGTAGACAGAACATAATGATATGGTTTAGATAAGCGACAAGTGACTTCACTGACCCGCACCATGCTTTGATCTGGCCGCCACAGCTTTTCCACAGCTTATAGTAATATTAACTACCATCGAACAATAATAGTAGGTAGAAGTTAGACATGAGAAATATACGTCTTAACCACCTTAGTTGATAAAGGTTCACTAAACATTGATGGATTTCCAATTTTCATACAGTTCCTTACCCCTAACTTCACTATTAGTCGACCACTCTTACAACTACATACGATCAATCCTTTACATCTCATGAAGAAAATTTAAATACTGTGTTAAAAGTGGTTATGAAAATAACTAATCTGTAGATTAAAGATATAGTACCTACTCTATGGTACTCCTTTGTTTCTATTCTTTCACTCACCCCGCTTAATATTCTGAATACGAGCAATCTAGACTTCATAAGTCAGTACTCAATCATTGTATAGGTGACAGGAAATCCTATTTCTGAAAATCCTCAATAGTTTTAGATAGGTGTAGAAAATTTTCACATTCAATTCAAGTTGATTAAACATCATATACTGACCAGTACAAACTGATAAGTAATAAAAATAGATTTGTTCTCATACTTAAAGCTTGTTTTAAATGAAGAAATGAACAGGATGAATGAATCATTTTAAAGATAATTGTTTTGAAATACAGAACTAGAAGTAAAGTGCTTACTTTGTTCCATTATTTTCTACCACCAACAATCCCCTTACATTCTCCGTTTTAATCAAGTTCGAAGCATCTTTTACTGTATATTCACTAGTAATTCTAACTGTTTTTGGAAGACCAGCAATTAATTCATCTAATGTATCATTAATCCAACTTGACAGAAAGATATATAATAACAGGATACAATGTAAATAGTCAAATTAATCAAATCAAGAATATTTTAAAGAAAAAAAACCCTTGTGCATACAAAACATGATATAAACAGTGTTATAATTTCTCCTATTACGACCCAGCTATTCCTATTACTTAGTAGTCTTGGACACTTTTTCACTCAACAAGTCCCTAAATCAGGACACGGTTGAACAGGAACGAAATTATGTTCCAAATAACAAGGGTAGATGGAAGTAAGAAGCACAATAAGAATAATGTAAGTATATTCATAGTTTTCAAATAAGATTCTACAGTCTTCTCCAAGCATCCGCTAACGTTGATTGGATAAGAAATAGCTAATCAGCGTGTAAAAACAAAATCGTGCACGGAACGTTCTTTAATCCAGTCCATATTCCGCTAACAAACTGGTAGATTTCATACAACTAGTGTTTCAATTTTTAGAACTTTGCCAAACATTACTTACTAAAAATCGGATACAAGCTCATTAAGCTGAACAGGGAAAGGGGTTCTATTATATCCTAGTGAAGATTAAATTACGAGTAACTTACGATAACTATAAATGGACTGATTATATATATTCAGTAACTAGATTGTGCATATCTATATCCCTCTTACTATAAGCTTCATTTTGACCTATAGATTATTATTATACGGTTTACTGTTTTTAAGTTATGTTCAGTTTATTGATTACAGTCTCCCACATTCACAGTCACTTTTTGGCTTGATCGTGTGTAAATGTTATTTTCCATTTTGTGATATAATATGGTCTGTTTGACTGGTATATAAACCCAGTATGTTTGAAATAAATAATTCTCATGATGGAAGCTGTTATTGATGTTCTGTACTCAACTGGACGGGCTAGGTGAGCAAAGGACCAATAAGGACGCTAGGCTACTCATACCGGTCGAATGTCATTGGTTTAGCATATTACTAAGATTGGATAAATCGTATTTCCATTGGTGAATAAGTCCAAAATTGACCAAATGTATTCAATACTTCCTTTTTAAGTCCGTGTACATAAAATACTAAACTGACTACCGTAGTAGAATGAAATTTCATACTGTAGTTAAACAAAACTACAACATCTAATTTCTTTATACACGTTAAAGCACTTTACATTCATGCAGAATTTTTATGATACACTCAATATATAATTTATCATTTGGCTACACTTATCCTCATAACTGTATGCTTACTTATTTCGAAATGCATCACCAAGAGGAAAGTTCATGTATCCTCGACTAAACATCCAATCATTTGATAAGAATTTAGACCTACACAAAAAAATAAATTAGAATAAAAACAGGATTTTTAAAAAAATAGTAAACAAATAAGAAACTTAGTGGAATGGGTAATACACAAATTTCCATGGCTGGATCTCACTGAGCAGAAAGAGGGACTTGATTCACTTTTTATCCTCAACGATCGAGAGAATATGTTCCACTAACACGATTGATGAGAAACTATTCAAGTTCCGCCTGGAGACCCTCCGGGGGCTACTGCCGGTCCCAAGCCCAGAAAAAGGAGAAGGGTTAGGCATGGGGTTAGCGACCCCATCCCGTAGAAAACTGACTGGCTAAAAAACGCTAACCAGAAAAAATTATTCAAATCTTTTAAACTCTGCCCTGGGAGTCAGAAGGTCTTCATTTAGAAGAATTATGACGCCACATGATGGGAGCCGAGTTCCTTCGGAAGTCACGAGGCCGATGCCCCTTCTGACAACCAGAGCAACCATTTATTTAGGTACAAGGAATGCTCGTACAGTGTGGGGGACCGGGAGAGCCTTCCAAATTGCTGCAGAAATGAGGAGATACAACCTGGAGTTGCTTGGTATCAGTGAAACACATTGAGTGCAAGTTAGACAACAACGACTAGCTTCAGAAGAGCTTCTGTTATACTCCGACCATGAAGAATTAAATGCTCCACATACACAAGGAGTTACATTGATGCTATCAAAAGAAGCACAAAATGCACTTATAGGATTTGAATCTCATGGACCAAGGATCATCAAAGCCTCCTTCAAAACAAAGAAAGAGGGCATTTCAATGAACATCATCCAATGCTGTGCGCCTACCAACGACTACAATGAAGACTTTAAAGATCGATTCTACAATAGGCTGCAGTCAATCGTCGATAAATGCCCAACAAAGGACCTGACCATTCTGATGGGAGGTTTAGATGTCAACTGTATGATACAACGAACTGTCTGGAAATTACCGTAAACTAGAACGACCATATCTGAGAAGAATCATTGATGAACACGGTAGATCTGATGTAAATGTGAAGGAGCGAATCGACAAAGCAAGAGTAGCATATTTACAACTGAAGAACATCTGGAACTTCAAACAACTGCCAACCAACACCAGGGTCAAGATTTTCAATACAAATGTCAAGACAGTTCTACTGTATGGGGCAGAAACTTGGAGAACTACGAAAGCCATCATCCAGAAGATACAGGTGTTTATCAACAGTTGTCTACGCAAAATACTTCGGATCCGTTGGCCGGACACTATTAGCAACAACCTATTGTGGGAGAGAACAAACCAGATCTCAGGAAGAAGTGCTGGAAGTGGAGAGGACACACATTGAGGGAAGCACCCGACTGTGTCACAAGGCAAACCCTCACATGGAATCCTGAAGGCCAAAGGAAAAAAGGAAGACCAAAGAACACATTACGCCGGGAAATGGAGATAGACATGAGAAAAATGAACAAAAATTGGATAGAACTGGAAAGGAAGGAATAGTGGGACGGAGTGGGTTGGAGAATGCTGGTCGGCGGCCTATACTCCATCGGGAGTAACAAGCGTAAGTAAGTAAGTGGGTATTTCAATTTCGACAGACTCTCATTAGAAATGGTTATTCACTTAGATTCGTCGATAGCAACTTAACACCTAGACTTCATCATGAAAAATCATCGACAGTAGAAAAGAAAACCTTGTTTATGAATGTGGAATTTAAAGGAGACATGGCTGCGGAAATCTTAAACGGATTTCAGAATCATTGAATAAAACGTTCTAGGCAGCTAAGCTCCGAATTGTTTTCTCAAGCCGGCCATTCATGGATGTGTTAAGGATAAACTTCCACTTTAGGCCACGTCAGTGTGTATCCGTAAATTTACATGCTCATCTTGGGCACGTTAAATTGGCCGCACAAAGCGATTACTTTCCAAACGCAACTCAGAACACTATCCGACTTGGCTTTTAGAAGGAGAATGTAAAACAATTACTAGTTCTATACGGGAGCATTTAATCAACTATGGGCACCTCGCTTTAAAGAGTTCTTCTTTTAAAGTAATGTACAGAGTCAAATGAATTGGATCGAATGGGTGTCCAATCAATATTTTATGCACTGGTGAGGCATTGGCAATTCACGAACTCAAGCCTGAACTTTTCGTGCAGAAACGATTCGTTCAACCTCTCGTCCTTCCTTGGCCCTAATTCCCCTAATGGGTATGTTTCGGGTTTTTATTTCCTTTCTTCTTCACTTTTGTTTGATTATTATTGGGTTTTTTTTAATTATTATTACCTTATATAAGTTTGCTTGATTATTTCAGTTTATTATTATGACCTTTATGTTTGTTATTTTTCTTCATATCTGACCCATAAATTATTTTCTTTCTTACCCTTTGATTAGTACGTTAACCTCATTTGATATTTATTCTCCAATCCATTTATAATACAATCTTTTCTATCCTCCTATAGATATATATTTTCCATATAACTATATATACGAATGTATAGCTTAAGTAAATTATAAACATGAAGCTTCATTTTCTTTAATTTACAAGTCCGCTCATAAAACTAACAAAAATAAAATACAGATTATGTATTTCAAGTATCATATCCTTATTACACCAAGGCGGTATAATGTTAATAATTTTGAAACAATAACAACAATGAACCGTTTCTTTTTTTTCTAAAATAATCGTTTTTCTTAGTTCGAACACACAAAGAAAATACATTGACAGTCTCAGAATCCACCAGAAGACAGGATGTCCAATGGAAAAATATCTACAAATTACCGTGGACATACATCTTATGTTAGTGGACTTACATTATAATCCCAACCAGAGATATTATTGACGCCCGAATGTAACATATGAAATTTTAACCTGCATAAATGTTTACCTAGAGAGTATATAAAGCATGAGTTGTTTTTAAATGAAATTCAAACCTTTTAGTCACATTATGCTTATATATCGTAAGGGGAAAATAAACATTCGGTAAAGAATGAAAATGAATAGAAGAGAACAAATGAAATGAAATAAGCTTTAAAGCTTATCTTACATGTAATTGCGTACATTATCTGGTAGAATAACCACGATTCGACTGTTTTTTCCTAAACCCAATTCTTTAATAGTTCTGATAGCACCAGCTACAGCAGCACCAGAACTGCCACCTTTGTGAAAAAAATTTATGACAGAAAGAAATTCAATAAAACACTTCGTAATAACAAATACATCGTGGTTTATGACTAAGTAATAACCGATATCATGTTTATCTAGTATCTAGTACTGGCTGAATTCTACTGATCAAGTTGCAATATGGTTAACAGATAACTAGACATGAACTATATATTTTCGTGCTAGGTAGTTAGAAGTAGTTGTTAGGAAACCATCGATTTAAACCAGTTTTCATTCAGATAGATCAGTGGTAACGTCCCAAACTGTAAAGGTGAGCGATGAAGGTTTGAACTACACATAGAGAGAGTCAATTATCTGAATATTATAGATATTTCTGGCTAAACAATACCAACTAGTAGGAAACGGGGACTACATTAGGTCAAATTATACTAATAAATGTATCGAACAAATATTTCGGATATTTTACAAATATATAATGAGTAGCAAGTTGGTATGTTACTAGATTTTGTCTTGTTTGGGACTGGTCAGCTGGATGTACCTGCACCCCAATGTTGATAGTCACATTGGGACTCAACCTCGGTAGTTTTCGCCTCAAACACTAAATGCGTCATCTGATTAACTAATTAGTTCAAACACCACTGGGTTGCGCAACAGAGTGATTTCGATTCATTCGATTTTAAACAGTGCAATATTTTTAGAATGTAATGAATCTACAACTTATTATTGCTTCCTTTCTCGAAGTAAGTTAAGTTGGTATATATCAGTGCAGTAAATATGGATCGGTACACTTAAAAACTATCTGAACCATCCAACAATAAAAAGTGAAAATTCAAATGTAAACAAGGAAAAAAGTGGAAGCAGTGAATATGAACATCTAACTGAGTTGTTAACCATGGTTATCAAACAAATTGATAAAATTTGTAAAACAACCAAGGAAAGTTTTCTGTATAGTATCTGCTGTACAAATCAAATAGCCAGCCAACTTATTAAAGTTAGTTGAAATATTTATTCAGCTTTTATATCTTCTGACCTTCATACCATCCATTAATTTCTTTGGATTCAATAAACTTTTACTTACGCGTGTTATCTCTCGTGAATGTGCATAGACCTCCAATAAAGATTCTCCAGCTAGCTCTATCCTCCACTCTCATTTCCAGCCTTTTCCAAGTGTTATTTGTTCTTTTAATATCTGCCTTCAGTGCTCTACACAATGTATTCTGTGGTCTTTCACTTTTCCTTTTACCTTCAGGAATCCAAGTTATGTATTGCCTCGTGATGCAGTTTGATGGTTTCTGTAATGCATGTCATATCAACCTCTCAACCGACTAGTTTCACATTCTGCTGGAAGTTATTTTGTTCCTTCCCATAATAGGCTGTTGCTGACAGTATCCAGACAACGGATATTCACTATCTTACGTAGAAATCTGTTTAGAAATATTTCTACTTTTCTGATGATGGTTGTGGTTGTTCTCCAAGTTTCAGCTCCGTACAGTAGAAATAACTGTCTTGACGTAGGTATTGAAGATTCTGATTTTGATGTTGGCTTGAAAACAGTTGTTTTCAGTTCCATATGTTCTTCAAATGTAGGAATGCTATTCTTGCTTTGCCAATCCTTGCCCTCACATCTGCATAAGATACTCCTTGTTCATCGACGATGCTGACCAGTCAGGTACGTGAAAGTTTCCACATCTTCCAGAGTTTCTCTATCTAGTATAATTGGGTTGATGCTTGTTGTGTTGTATTTCAGAATTTTGCTTTTCCCCTTGTGTATGCTGAGGTCCAATGCTGAAGATGCTACTGCTACACTGGCTATCTTCGTTCAGGTTTATTTAACTTGCTAGTAAGAGCCTTATGAATTAGTTAACTAAATAGTTTGGCTTAAGAACGTTTTCCGTGACAGAATTGGATCAGATAAAAAAAATGTAAATCAGAATTGTATTTAATGATTATATTAACATTATTTAGACTTATCAAAGAAATATTCCGAACATAAAATTATAATGTAGATAGTTGTGATTGGTGGTTGAACTACTCATGTATGACATTGAATACAACTGTAGAAGTGAAAAAAATTTGTGGATCCCCCAGAATTAAAAGCTGAAGACGCTTAATTGGTTAAATCTTAGCTTTCTTTTTTTATAAAACAATTATTGACAAGATGTTCAATGGGTTAAATATCTTTGAAAAGTAATCGTGCCAGAGACAGTATTCAGAAAGCAATCTTATGCATGTAAAAATCAACTGTTTTGAAGTTGTAGTGTCAGTTACTATGTTAAGCCCATATACCTTATTCTAGCTTTCGGACATCCCATTCTATTCATTCTACTCGAGCCATACTTTAACCTTGTCATTTATTCGCTTATCAGTCTTGACTGTTTTTATATGAGCGTATATGTGTGTGCCCTTCTTATCCCATTAATCACATGTCTGTAGCTTTATTTTTGTCTGACTATAAATATTGAGTAACGCTTGACTAAAGTGGAGTTGGCTTCCCAGCCATCTTCCGTGCGTGTCATTTTGCTTTGCTTTGCTCTGCTCTGCTCTGCTCTGCTCTGCTCTGCTCTGCTCTGCTCTGCTCTGCTCTGCTCTGCTCTGCTCTGCTCTGCTCTGCTCTGCTCTGCTCTGCTCTGCTCTGCTCTGCTCTGCTCTGCTCTGCTCTGCTCTGCTCTGCTCTGCTCTGCTCTGCTCTGCTCTGCTCTGCTCTGCTCTGCTCTGCTCTGCTCTGCTCTGCTCTGCTCTGCTCTGCTCTGCTCTGCTCTGCTCTGCTCTGCTCTGCTCTGCTCTGCTCTGCTCTGCTCTGCTCTGCTCTGCTCTGCTCGCTCTGCTCTGCTCTGCTCTGCTCTGCTCTGCTCTGCTCTGCTCTGCTCTGCTCTGCTCTGCTCTGCTCTGCTCTGCTCTGCTCTGCTCTGCTCTGCTCTGCTCTGCTCTGCTTCATTCGCTTTATATACAAAATATATGTATTCTCAAGTCAATTCTCGTTATTCGACTTATTTAATTCCGTTATTGACTAACGCGATTTAAGTCGACGATGATCTACGAGAAAAGGCGATAACAATCATTTATACGATCTAAATAGGACTCAGATCCACGGGCTACTAAAAAGTATTTAGTTACCATAGTCTATGTCAACAACTTTTAATAATAACAATAATAATAGTCATAGTTTTCGACTAATATTCGTCAAATTAGTATAATCATCATTCATATATTAATCAACCTTGATGACTAGTTGTTATTTGTATAATTTATTTGATTACTTTATCACAACTAATCAACACGACTTCCGACTTATTTATTCGACAACATAAAAATATTACCCTTTCCGGTCTTAGAATAATAATAACAATAATCAGCTGTAAAACATATATCCGGTTTGTTATTTGTTATATAATGTGAACCAAAATGTTAGTTCTATAAATTAGAATAAATCAAAGTGTTTATATTAAATAACCATGAGATATAAATAACTAAACTTGATATATATGAATGTAGATGTTTATAATTTTGTAATCATGTCATAAATATTTATATCTAATTATTTTAATCAGAGAGAGGTTTTTGTAAATATTATGACTTAATAGTTGAATTCATGAGTTAATTAAAGCTAGAGCACCGTGGAGAACCTGACCGGCTGTTTCATCTTAGTGCGCATCCGCGGGTCCCACCCGCAAGATTTGAATCCGGGACTTATCGGCTTGTGCACGAACTCTTAAGCTCTAGATCACTAAGTTGACATTCAACAGTGTTAGTATCTAACTTCAACCAATCCACGAATTGCTCCATCATCCACTATTGTCTTCAATGAGTTATTATATTACAATCTAATCATTTATATGAAAACGAGTTTCATCACTAAACTGTAAATTCACGTACATTATCATTCAGTTTAATGTTAACAAAACAAGTGTTTGTCAGTAGTGAAGAAATTCTTATGAGATGGTGAAGATTTTGTAGCTCAGTTGGATGATTTTGATGGAGTTTTGTTCTCTGAGCTGGATGGTTTGGTCGTGGAGCTTTCATCTCTTTGAACGACATCATCAGCACAAACTTCAGATAGAAGTGAAGTGTTCGAATTTCTCCATATGTGACTCATAGCTTGTTCTGTACACCTCGATGTGTGATTGGTTCTTGTTGACCTTAAATTGTCATTGTTTCCTCTTTGTTTTGGTTGTGTCTCCCATTGTTTTGATTTTTG